AAAAAAAAATATATATATATATATATATATATATATGAATTGTTACAGTGAAGTTCTTGGAACTCTCCATACCTTCAATCCAGCGTAACCTAAGACAGTGGTGGTGAACCTATGGCACACGTGCAGCAGCCGGCACGCTGAACCTTCTCTATGGGCAGAGTCAAGCCAGGCCAAGGTTCACAGATTATTAGCATACATGCACCCACAAGGGTCACCTTCATTGTGCAAAGGCACACCAAATGCAAACTTTCAGGGGCTGGGGATTTAGCTCAGTGGCACAGCGCCTGGCTGGCAAATGTGAGGTTGTGAGTTTGATTCCCGGTACTGGAAAAAAACCAAAAAATTAAAAAATAAATAAACAAATGCAAACTTTCACCTTTTTGTAAAAAGCTGATTTTGTCATGGAAAACTCTGCTACTGTGTTTGTCTTTTAATACCAAAGTTGTTAATGTGTGAGTTTGCTTTTCAGGCTAAAACTTCAGCATTGAGGTTTAAGTACAGTGTTGGCATTTTGCATTAAATAAGTGGGTTTCAAGTTGTAGTTTGGGCACTTGGTCTCTAAAAGATTCGTCATCACTGACCTAAGAGTTCTGATTTCTCCAAGGCTCGTTCCTGTTTTCTGAGATGCTCAGTGATTCAGCTTTTCTTGGGTTCTTACAAGATCTTAATGCGTGAGTGAGGATTCAATTTTCTGACTTCCACATACAACCTTACCATGCATGTCACTTAGTTGTGGATCTAACTGACTCAGATTGGTAAGGTCCGGTGCTTTTGCATTGTAGCTGTGATACCACGGTTAAGAGTGAATCCTGGATGTCCTGCTGCCTAAGAGTAGCAAGCAGTGTCTCTCACTGATCACGTGACTCAAGCAAGCTGTTTGACTTTTGTGCCTCAGCATCCTCTTCCTTAAAAATAACAACAGGCTATCATAAACATTAAATCAGATCCTACTTACTTGGTATTGTTTACAATGTTTTTATTACATCTAGCATATAATAAACAATAAATAATAGCTTTTAAAAACTATATAATTACTTTAGCTCATCTAAAACCTAAGTGAAAGCAATGTCCTCTTTGCCTTCCTTATAGTTCGTGAACGAACTGTGAGATTATTCAAAGGGACTGGAGACTGTCCCTGGGGATTCCGAATTCAGTTCTCCAAGCCCATCATGGTAACTGAAGTGGATGCCAGTAAGTAGACTCACTATAAAAGCTTGAATTCATACAAGAACAATGATCTCAACTCTAGCAAAACATGCAAAATAATCTCTATATCATAATCCTGTAAAACAGACATGTGGAATAGAATCAACTTGTCAATCTCAGTGTATCAAAAAATCATAATTGAGAACTGCTCATATCATAATTATATAGTCTTGAAAGATGTGGCTTGCCTGATGGAAAGAACTTCTTTTACCAACATAGGGCACTGACTGCCCTTCTTATCAGAGAGTCCTACCTCCACCTGCAGAAACGGTGCTCAATGTGGGAGAGACAAAGGTTCATATGAGTAGACAGCTGTCCACTTGCCAGTGTATTTAGTGTTTTCTGGGAGAAGTTCTATTCCCCCTAAATTATTTTCCTCATGTCTTTTCATATACTATTTCTTAATCAGCAAATCATGAATTAGTAGATATTTTGTGAAAGTTAGATTTTTTTAAAAAGTTGTTGATTTCTAACATAAGAATACTCTGATATCAGTTCTGTGGAGAAAAAAAAAAAAAAAAGAGCCAGAAGAGTAAGGTTGATAGGAGCACTAGATCAAGATGTCTACCCTTAGCCCGGGGCATGATGGGAGGAGTAATAAAGTCACCACAAAGCAGGGCTCAAAGACACTAGGGTGTGTCTGAATTACACTGTTGTCTTTTTTGTCCAACTCCCCAGCCGGATTGTGAGTTTAAGATCAGGAACTCTATCTTACCTGTCATTTTATCCTTAATAGCCCATGTGGTGTCCCAGAGGCCACAGAATGGGCACCCCAATAATGTTGCTGAGTAGCTGTGAGAGCCCTGGGAACCTGAGGCTTGCATAGCACAATGCAGAAAAGAGGGGAGGAGCCACCTCAGGAGGACACCACCTTTATGCCCTAATCCTTTCTCTGGCCTCATTATCACCCAGGGTCACAGCTCGTTTTTCTTTGTCTGTCCGTGTTCAAGGTCCCTCTGTTGGCTGCCCTGTGATTCCCCTGGGAATCTGCCCTCTCAGCTTCGAGGGAGTGGACGGTTTCTCAGCTCTGGCAACAGCCACCAGCACGACAAGGGCAGCAGATCAAATCATTGGCTCCTAGCCCACCATTAAACAGCTGTAGGTGACAACGGTGGGCTGGAAATAGTGATCAGACTAAAACCCATCCCATTTCTTTACATTAATGGAATTTCTAAATCAATTGTCAGGGCACGAGGCTAGAGAACACGATGATTTGCTTCAGTTAGGATTCTCTGTTGCAACTAATAGAAAATCTGATGGGAAGTGATGGCGGCGAGGAAGAGAATTGACTCTCAGAAGCTGAAGGGTACAGTACAGCACAGGCGTTTGATTTCGTGGTTCAATCATTTCGTCCACAACCTGATTTCTTTCATTGCCTTCCTGAAGTTGCAACCTTCCTGCTTGGAACCAAAACCGTTTCACCAGTTCTGGATTTCCTGTCATAAATCATAGACTCAAAAAAGAGAGGCTTCCAACCTAAACATCTTCATGTTGTCATGACCCCTGGGGACAGATGTGAGCTGATTCCCTTAGGCTGAATGCAAGGAGAATGAGATTGTTTTGACTTAATTGCTAGAAAACCAGGGCCCACACTGGGCAGGAAGTTGGGATAATGCTCCTTTACCTTCCACAAGCTTCCACTATGGAAAATAGGAGGTGGTGTTTTAAGATTCTGAGGAACTCTATAACCTCCCCACCTCGAGCTATTCACATGCAGTGGCACTCTGCACCCAGTGAGTCAGAAACAAGAACAGCACAAGCAAATTGCTTTTGAACTTTTGTGCTTTGATTCTAACTTAATCAATCTTCAGCTGTTTAGCAAGTACATTAACTATCACAGGAACTCTGCAAAGTTGAACTGACATTGTCTCTAATATTTAACTCTGAATGGGATGAGCAGGGTTCAGTCAAGTATTATATAAAATAACTTTTTCTCAAAGGTCTTTATTGAACTTATTTTAAAGCTTCATGCTTCCCACTCTGGGTAAGTTCTGAGATGAGGCTTTAGTTTTATCTTCTCTCTTAGATAATGAAGACACTACCTTTTTGTCACTCATGTCCAGTCCAGCCTAACAATCAAAACTATAAGTCAGTCTAGTGTAAACATCAAAATGGCAGAAGTCTTAGCCATCTCAAATTCTCTCTCCTCCCTCAGCTTGAGCCCGCTGCAGACTTGCAAGTATGGATTACCTTTGTGACTACTTCCTACCTCTATTCTAAATTTATCAGAAATCCCACCTCTACACTTTCAAATGTACTTGAATGTGTACCTTTTGCCTTTTCTCTTTCTCCTACTGAAAGCTAATCCTTCCTCTTATGTGGTTTGATCCTTTTCACTCTCACCTTCTCATGACTTACAGAATATTAATAAATTGGTAACAGATAGGAACTTCTTTAAAGTAACAAAGGGAGCTCCTTTTTCTCAGTTCCTATCACCCGAGAATAAACCAAAAAATAAAAGCACAAGGGGTTGGAGGAAACCTTTGTGACTGACAAAGGGAAGAGAGGGTGAGTAGGTAGAAAAGACTTCAGACCATACCGCAGGTCGGTCTGGCACCCAGGAGAGGAAAGGAAGTGAGATTGGGTAGGAAAAATCAAACTTCACTTGCTGCTATGAAATTCTGAGGCAGAGTAACAAGGAGCCCTGGAGCAGAGTGTTCATTACAGGGATTCTGTACTGGACGGCTGCCGAACCTCCTCCATGTGTGGTCACTAGCTGGGTAGCCATGGCAAGGAAGGCCTCAGAATGAGATGGGATGGTCCGGAAGTGTGGCCATTGAAGGCTTCCTGCCAGTTCCAATCTGCGGGCTCTGGAGACATGGGTAGTGTCTGTACATATAAGATGGACAAAAAATGTATGGGATAGAAAGCCCTGGCGGAAGGAGATTGATAGGAATAACTGTAATAAAGCTGCGAAGATCACCACTTTAAAAGATAAAACAATGTAGAAGTGTTACATTGAACAGCAAGAAAACCATGTTCATCGTTTTTGAATCTTAGTATTTAAAGATGTCAGTTCTTTCTTAAATGAGCCTATAGATGTAAGATTCTAGTAGTTGTTTCTGTTCTTCCTTTGTTTTAGAAAAAGGAATGAAATTCTAAAATATTTACAGGAAAGCAAGGGATCAAGTTACTAAACTGAAAATTATTTTATCCAGGGAAAAAGCCTTTATTTTATAATTAGATATTAAAGTGCAAATGTATGGATATCGTTACTCTGTTGTAATGAATTAGTAATTTCTTTAGTAATTTCTTTAGTTATTAGGGAAGAAAGAGAATCTTAGTAGGATTTAGGGGTGAAAGGGTGAACCACAAACAAGTGAGGAATGAAAGCTGAGGAGGAACTTATCCACAGGGCTCAGATGACCAAAGACAGAAATTGCAAATTTTGTCTAGGGTCAACTTTACTTGGTCTCTTAGTGCCCTTTAAATTAATAAGAACACAAACAGTTGTATGTTGTGCCATTCTTGTTTTACACAGATGCAGAGCGGCAACTCTAGCATAAATTGGCTTCCCATATTTTTTACCATAATTTTAGATGTATTCCACCTTTAACAATGTCAAGGTTTCTTCCTGCAGAACATAGTAATGCATGTTTCACACTTTCCCATTCCGCATTCTCCCACTCCTCCTTCTGTCCGTCGCCTTTTTCTTTTCTTTTTCATCTTACTGATTTCCCTACATTTATTCCTCCTCTGCTTTGCTTTCCCTCTCTTTGAGTTCAGATCAGTGTTCAACAGAGAAACAAAGAAATTTGTAAGAAGTATAAAAATGATTACCCTTTGAAAGTCAAACAGGCCTGACTTGATAAGTTCAGATTTTTACAAAATATCTACAAACCTGCCTTTCTGGATAAGTAAATGTGGCTTAATAAAATGTTATGACTTATTTAATTTCTATCTCTCTTAAACTGAGATAGTTAACTGTATTTCATCCATTCAGGTGTGAGGCAAACAAAATGTTTGCATTGCAAATGACTTTTCATTTAAGAGACCCTGAGGTTTTTGCAATAGGAGGAGCTGAGGCCTCTTCACTGTAGTAAAAATGCTGCAATACATAGTTAACCTAGGATTTTATTCGACATAAGAAAATGCTGCGCTGTCAGGGATTCATGTAGCTGCTGAGTCTAGTTTTTGGTTTTTGTTTTTTTTTAAATGTATTTCTCAGTGCTGGAGAACACCCTCTGAAATTCATTGTCTAGTCAAATCTACCAAATGAGGGGTTGAGGGACTTTAAAATTACACATATTTTCAGCCCTTCTGAGAATCTTATTCATACCATGAAACATTGTTCAAGCTGCAGTGGAGAGGCTTAATTACACACTGAAGATAAAAAGATAAAGCAAGGAGACCTGTAGGTGGGATGGAAATGTTTATCTGTAAGTATATGGAGGCTGAGCTTGCTTGGAGCTTACATAACTAATTGCCCACAACTGGCAGGCATCTGCATGAACGTTTTCTATGAAAGCCTAAATGCTTATGAGATCTGTTGGCATAAACAAAAGAAACAGATGTTTCAACTTTGATACCAAGGAAACTTGAAAACTATACATTTAAGAAAGGGCAAAGCATGGAGGAAATTATAAACAAGACTCATCTTTCTGGAAAGTCTAGAATTTTAAATGCTACTGTTATGGTACAGTTTTTAAAATGATATGCATCAGCCCCCTTTTAAATTTTTTCAGATTCTGCATTATATGTAAATACATATAAAATAACGGAATAACTCAGTATGTAGCTCTTTATAATAAATAGGACTGTGCAAGGAAGCATCCTTTTAGAGAAAAATGTAAATTCAGAAAAATCATGGTCTTGTTTTCGTACTACCTCATAACTCCCTGACAAATGTAGGCTGAATGTTTCTATCCATTCCCAAGACTAACGCCAAATAGGGCAAACATTTCTCTGTTACATATTATTGGGTCACCTTGAAATATCTTGTTCCACAAAGAAGTTCTAATATCTCAAACTCCCACCATAATTAT